TGATCGCGTCGTCGACCGAAGCCTGTCTGAACGGGATGCCGAGATACTTGACTGTCTCTGTGCGGTCGAGCACATTAACGCCAGGAAGCATGTGGCAGTCTTGGTTCCGATTAAGCATCAACAGTACCGACTCGGACATGTTGAGCTTCGCGCCGGACAGTATACGATCTTCTGTACGTTCTGTGCAGCCAAAAATTCATACACCTTCTTCACGATGCCCACGATAGTAATATTATAGTATGTATCTACTACACTATCCAAATGTTCGTATAGAATATCATTGATCTCATAAATGGATAGACAAAATATACAGAGATATTTGTTTTATCTTTAATACTTTATAAAATTTGGAAGATCGTACCAGGTGGGGATGTAATGCTTTTCAACCCGGCCATTTAGCTCGCCTCATCCTGAATGTCATCACTCGCTTTTGAAATGCTGCGTTGGCTTTCGTTTTTGCGAGCCAAACCTTATATTGTCTAGCAAAATCATCCTTGGCTAACAATGAACATCGTCTTTGAAATTTGTACTCCTTGATAAGATAATCACAATTGCAAAAATATCAACTTTCATCACTTCTGGTAAGGTTTATACATACGTTTATTTTTCTCATATCTCATCAACTATTTCCATCCTCAAGTATTTAACAATTAAATTGTCATACAGCCAATCGCCCAATTTCTCTTTAATCTTATTGGAAGATATTAGTAACAACGAGACACTTCAGTGCAACCTTGGACATGTCGGTTGTTGTGCCTCGAAGTGCATCTAACGATTCACAACAGCAACCAGCAAAGGGCTCAAGCACAACTAAATCACGATCTGTTCTCTTTGTGGTGCTGCAGCTACTTATTTGTGTAGCTTTGGTGGTAAATCTATGTGCAATTTTTACTGAAGTTTCTTTTTTGACACCGGAATTGACGACTGAGAATCGAGTCCAACATTTATTAAAAGCAGCAGAAGAAGCGTCTCCAATTTTCGCAACTGACAATGAAACACTTTTAAGTAATGCCAGTTACTATCCCGAAGAAATATTTGAAGTGGACTGGAGTCGCGAAATTAAAGAAAGCGATCTTTTACATGAAAATGCACTTCATCGAGCGTGTGTGACACATAAACACAGTGTCATTCCATGGCTATTTGGATATAATGGACCTGACAAAGTTGAAGAGCTTAGCGTGATTGTAAATCGCAGTGATCCCATGCTGCTTGAGAAACTTCGAGAATGCCCAGACGTCGATCTTTTTCTACCTCACCACTTGCGCAGTTTTGGTTACTGTGAAGATGCAGCTGCGTATACAAAATGTACGTACAGTGTATAATTTGTGGTGTTTTATTAAGCTAATCATACTTTGTGTTCCAGTTCTAGGGTCACGTATGTTGCCTCGATGGGTGCTAGAAGTTAAGTTTAACGATGTCAAACATAATCGTTCCATCACATACCATGACTTATGTCCACACACGCCTATGCTTTTTTTTAATCACTATTGGGAGGGAGTTCCAGATGCAGATGACTGGCCAGCTACCAAAGCATTATACCTTATGCCTAATATTGAAATGTATGAGCTCAATGAAAGCCATTACTGGCGAGCAAATCTTATTTTGTGCAAGACTGCACTATGTGCAAGATATTTGAGAAAGTGGCTCCGTCAGCAAGGAAATCCTCGAAATACGCGTGTTGTATATACGCGCCATACGACGACAAATTTAGTATTGACAGTCAAGAACGAAAGCCAAAATCACAAGGTGCTAACAAAAAATTTCGCAAACGTGTCTTTCTTACACACGACAGGCAAGAGTATCCAAAAAGGAACGCGACAAGTATTGGATTGCTGGCTTAAACAACCGGATTTTCCACGGCTAGACTTTTACATCGACCAAGAACTGTACAATAGCTCGTTCTATGACTACGATCGGCGCATTAACAAAAGCAGCAACGTTTTATTGCACACGGGTCAATTATCTGCTACCGACTTTGGACATGTGATCTCTCAGGGCCGGTATTTCTTGTGTCCAAGTATAATGGAAGGCTATGGACACTACATTAATCAAGCGAGATCGGCAAATGCTCTTATAATCACGACAAACGCAGCACCGATGAATGAGCTGATTACACCCTCGTCTGGTGCTCTCGTCAACGCAAAAATCATTTCATATGGAGAGCAATTTATGGGTGGAATTTCGAAGCGAAGGTATGCACTTCGAAACATATCGGGACTTGTAGCAAATTTTGGAAGTCACGATGTGTGCGACACTGTCATAAATGTTCTGCACGATACAACTCCAAGTGAGCGCGAACAACGTGCAAAGAAAGCATTACAACAATATTACTTTGACACTGTTTTTTTCGCACACAAGATGCGAGCATTACGCGCTTTTTCACGTGCCATACATCATCCAAGCTTACGTGGAAAACTTCAGAAAGGAATGTCATTCATGAATTAGTCAAAAAATATAAGTAAACCGTCAAATTGTTTGTAATCAAATTTTGATAATATACTCTTTTTTAGAATATTGAGAGTGAAAAGTCGACAAAGTGCTAACCGTTATCATAAGGTGATGAAAAGTCTGAATCATGGACATCATGATGCGTCTTAAGGGTACAGAATTCTTGACGATTGCGAATGCTTTTCGTGAGCGTGAAAAGCGACTTGGTCATGGATTACCACTTGTCGAATTTGTCGAAATTGTATTATCAGGTTTACCACATTTCGACACTTTGGATGAAAAGATTGCAACTGTCAGTGCTTTAATTGATCTGTTTGAAGAAATTGACATTAATGGAGACAGTGTCATGGAATTTAAAGAATTTACTAGCTTTTGTGTTGAAGCCGGTATGACCGCACCACGAACACAAGGAACTACTCTCAAGCATCGCTATCAACGTGATCCCAAATCTACATTTAAGACAACGGCTGGTTCAATTGTTCCAACTTTAAGTTCAATATCTCGTGCTGTCAATTTGCCTAGCACAAAAATTAGTAATTTGAAATGGTCGGCAGATTTTCGCATGTTCCTTGTGATAGAAAACTCAGCGCAATCTGTGAAATTTTTTACGGGCGAAGGCAAATTTGTGACGGATGTAAGCGTCAGATCTTCTGGGTCCAAAGTTACAACATCAGATAGTAGCATTAAGATTGATAAATCGATTTTGAATGGAGTGTTTGGAAAAGATAAGAAATCTGTATTGATGCCACCATCAGCCACACCTCTTGAAACTCTTAGTCTCTCAATCCTGGATGCAGTCTTTATCTATCGCTTCCTGTGGCTCGCTGTGAGTACGACAGATTCCGTGATATCATTTTACAAATTAAATGAATCACGAAGACAATTGTCACCACGCAATACTCCACGTAGCAAAAATTTTGAGCTGCTACAAAACTTGGGGATATTAGCCACTACACCACAAAAAATGCTACGATTTTGCGAATCATCTGCGTTATTACTTGGATCTGGAAACGATTTTATCGTGAATGTTTGGAAAATTGTCGATATCGAAACGAAAATTCTCTTGCGACGTTTATCAGGTCACTTTGATCTGGTCATGGACGCACTGGAAGTTCCGTTGCATGACTTGCTCGTCACTTGCGATCTTCAGCACAGTATTCAATTATGGAATCTCAGTGACGGTCGAAATCGTGGTTCTCTTGTCGCTCATGAACGTGGCATTCGACAACTCTGTTACTCTAAGCAACATGATTTGCTACTTAGTGCCGGCTTTGAATATGATGTGTTAGCATGGGATCTGGCTTCTCGTCAAGTTGCTGTCAAATTATCGGGACATCGTGCACCACTCATTAGTATACAACTCGCACTATTCCAAACTGAACGTGCCATCACAGCAGATTGTCAGGGTGTATTCAAAGTTTGGGACATTTCAAGAGGAAACACAAAGTCAACAGACACCAGCATTTTTCAAGCTATTCAACTCGAATCCTTCCGATTGGGGGTGTCGTCAGTGGCCATGAAACCCGTTGCCTTTGTAAGCATGTATCCATACAGCCGTGATCTCTGGGTTGCAACTTCTGATTCTTGCACGTTGCATCGTCTTCGTAGTGTTCGAGTACAACAGCTTGATGAAGTGCCGCTTCGAGCTTTCTACCACTCGACTGCCAATAAGTTTGTAGTAGTGGCTGGATCAGTTTGTAGCCTATGGGATGGCGAATCGGGATCTTGCAGCAGTGAATTTACGCACGTAGGAATTTTTGAGAGTGATAAAAGCGTTGCGGATGAACAATATCGAAAACGGTTGTCAAAATCGAATTCTGTTGCTTCACTTGTAGAGCCCTCAATTCCAACAGCTTCTCCCATTCATTCAGGTCATAATGAAGCAGATCCAGAGCTAGTAATCTGCGCAAACGATGTTAAATGTCGAAAATTGGTGGTCATGTCGGAACAAGGGGTACTTAGTGTGTTTGATTGTCAAAATTTTGTTCAGCTTCGAAAATGTCAGGAATCGTTTCTACTGCCACCTAGTGTCTCCCACAAGGTCTTAGATGTCGGTCAGATACCAGTAGCAACGTCTGCTCGATCTTGTGCAGTGAAGGGACTGCATTACTGCTCAGAAAATAAACTAATTATTGTAGCAGATGCGGGAAGTAGTGCCATCATTGTGATTGATGACGATTCCAATCAAGCTTTATCGAATGGAATGGTCATCCTACGTCGTCTAAGCAATATACCTGATGGCATTACCGCAAGTGCTTATAGTTTTCACGCGTCGATGGTTGCAACAGTTGGCACAAAATCGGAAGCAATGAAGATTGCGCTTTGGGATTTCGAAACATTGGCATTTATGGGCAATTGCCAATTTGACGACGAACAAGATCATTCAATGGTTGCTAGCAATAGCGAATCGATCTTGTGCATACAACAATTGGAGTTTTGGAACAAGTTCCCAGTTTTATTAGCTAGTGATTCCCTGGGTGGTGTGTATTTTTTCGCGGTTACTCCACTAACACACGCATACACAGGCAAATTGCTCCATGCTTTTCTTAATGTCAATAAAGTCGAGAAAGCACAACTCAACGAGGTTTTTGATAGCAACGTTAACATTAATGATCAAACATTTGAAGCAAACAACGGTATGAAACAAAAGGAAGCGCGATGTTCTCAAAATACTACGGAACCAGTGACTGAGACCAAATTCATTTCATTAGATCTATCGGCATCCGTTGTGACTTGTATGAAAATGGTCTATGACGAAGAAAAGGATAGGTATCTGCTTTTCATGGGTGACGAAAGAGGCTACGTCGGGGTCTGGGACCCCATTTCTATGATACATAGACTCGCGTTGAAAGAAATCTCTAAGAAGAACTGCAAATATCTGCGTCGTGGATACCAGCCGAAGGCAATGTTTCAGCGTAACTGCCTAAAGAATACACCAGGCATGGGCGGAAACGAGTTCAAACAGAGCGAAGAATTTCGACAATCTTTTCGTCAGGGCTCTGCAAGTAGTAAAAGTCGATTGTCGTTGCTTGGAAGTGATGCTGTGATGCGTAGAAATGTCCGTGCATCGAATATGAAGACACAACCTTTGTCTCGTCAGCATAATCGAGGGCTACTCAGTCACAAGACACAACAAGCAAATGCTTCATTGAAATCTCATTTGGATAAAATTGTTGTCACAAATTCAGATGCTGCTGCTAAGTTCTTAATCTGCAAAGATAAAGTGTCTAGTTTTCAGAAAGACCACACATCCGGAGTTGACAAACAGCTAAACACATTCAAGTCAACAAAGTCTTGGCCTGGTAGTTCATGCTACGAAAATTATCCGCGGGATATAATGCTCTTGTGTCGTTGGCAGGCTCACATTGATGCAGTATCTAGTCTAGAAATAAGTCATCATCCGAACATTGCCGTAACATGTGGATTGGATATGCGCGTTTTTGTTTGGAGCTGGGATGGAGCGTGCTTGGGAAAGCTTTTTGACCCAGACAATCAAGGGCCGTGGCCTTGGCGCTTTCAAAAAGACAATGCAACGCGAACGAAGAAGCGTGAGTTGTTTGTGGCGAATTTAATACAACAGATTGAGCGAACTCCAGCAGAAAAGATTAAAGTACGTCGACAAACGTTGTTTGCCGAACACGTGGATCGATGGAGTCTTCACGAGTCCAGTAAGGCAAACTCTATGTTGTTAGAACATGTGATCAGTAAAACTTCAGAGATTAAATTGCTAGAACTAGAAACTCAATCTGGTAACAAGGACCTTCACAATCATTCCAAGTCTCAAGAGGCATTTAATACACAGCTTGCACCAGTGACAACAACAGCTTCTATCACAACTCCTAGGCAGACATTGCGTTTGCATACTTTAGATCAATTAAGCCATCGAAGTCAGTCTCAAACCCGATTGGAAATCGATCAAGTTGCGTTCTTGGGAGTGGAAGATCTCAAAATGGATAAACATTATCTCGAAACTGAACTCTTGATCACATGCCCAACGGCATCTTCACCAATGCGTCGGCCCATTAAAGACGCAGGTGTTCAACAGACTGAAATGGATAATAAACTAGCTCGGGAAGCCGTTGCCACTCGAGCGAAGTTGGCACAAAGAGCACGTGAGATGTATAGTAACATGGAAGATGTTCGTGCTAGCCATCGTAAACACCGCCTAGACAGCGTCAGCCACGATCTAGAAGTGTCTGACTTTCTGAAGCAACATTTTCCACCCTCTGTACTTGCTGCTCGGCCTCAAACAGCCCCAATTCGTAGTCTCAAGACTAGCGCTAGTGCAGGACACGTCGGGATCTATCAACAAAGGGAAAACAAACAACTACAACTACAAATATCAGCGTCTGAAAATAATCTTCCGACGACGGAGGGTGCATTTTTTGTCAACACTTTAGGATCATCAAAATCGACGCTGAATAAGTCTCGACGGAGAAGTTCGCTTGATGAGGTTTATACAGAAGAAGCGCACCGCTATCGTCAGGACAGATCTCTTAGTCGAGAAAAACTTGGAATTACGAAAAGCAATAGCGAAAAGCAGCAAGTAAGACCGCTTTATAAACTACGAGAAATTAATGACATTATCGCCAAAGTTCACGAATACTGCGATGAAGCAACTCAATCCGTAAGACCCCGAACTGCACCTGCTGTATCTCGGGGTGAGTGATACCATTAAGTTACGACCGAGAGACGAGATAAACATCGTATAGACTTGTGATCGTGCAAAGCAATAGCTAAAGTATTGGTAAAATACTATCGTGATTTTGCAGCTAATTAACATCGGAGTTGAGTCGACGTATTCGAGACTTGCATTATTACAAAGAGGAATTACTTTACTTTATTTTAGACATTAAAGAGTATTGTAGATTGACTAGCATTGAGTAATGTACATGTGTGAATGCACAACAAATATTGCGTCCATCATGTTCAAAGATTTCGATATGTACACGGCTTACAAGTATTAGGTAATTGATTGGTCGGACGTGTAAGTCAGCGACGAGTCGAGTAACTTCAAATTTGATACCACACCCGTTACATTGTACGAATGACATTTTTTCAAATTGTATAACATCAATTTAGGCGTGCATGTAGCCGGTAACAGTCTATTTGTAACCATGTGGTAGCACCTGACGCCAGTTGGATGATGCAGAGGGATACAAATAGATATTTCTGGTGAATAGCGATGCTGTAAAGTGCTTGGTGGACATAACATGGTGTGTATCCCTTTGGCTTCGCCGTCTGATATTGTTGGTGGCATTAAAACGATAGCGCCATCAATTAGGCTTTTGAAACCTTTAACAGGTGTTTTGTGTTCTGGCCATAGATGCAGCTCTAAAAATGGAGGATTCAAAAAGTTTTGAGCAACTTCGCATACTTCTTTCTATAAAGCCAAATAGCGTGTCCTTGTCCATAGACAGCAGAATGTACATTCGCGGTACGGATGGTCTCTTGAGGTGGTGAAAATTATGGAGCACAGTGTGAAGATTTCTTGGAAGATTTGTCATTTGTCATATCGCACAGAACTCGTCTCAACAACAACAAGTCAAGGACTAAAAAATACATTGAGCAATAACTTAGAATCTGCAGTACCAACATATTTGACTCACAGGTTGTGGAGAAATATTTCCTGTCAACTCTTCAGTAAGTGTGTACATTTTCACAGACTTGATAGAGTTGCTTATTCCCGCCACTTAAAATACAAATATATTTTTGATGAGTGTGTATTAATCAGCATTTATATCTGCAGCAGTCAGACAGTCTAGTTGATATAGCTTCTGGATTAGGCATAATCATTCAAGATCTGACATTCGAAAAACAACTAAGGGTTAGCATCGCTTTGAAAAGGCCAAAAATTCTGTAGTCGGTTCTCTTAAATGGTCTTTCGCTTGCCACGCGTTAGAGCGCCAATTTTTCGCATACTGAATCGATGTTCAGGACCGCGAAGATTATCGCTTGCCGGTGGTTGGACGGCTTGTTAACTAGGTTAAAGATTTGGGGTTGATTGCGTTGCTGGTAAATGTCTTGTGTAACTTATCATCTCAATTTACTAGCAGCCCAATAGAACCTTATTTCTAACACTATGTCTGATATGATACATGGTCATGCGATTCTTCGCAAGCTTTAAATGCGCCCAATGCAGATGGCGTGTTTGTAAGTATATGCTAACAGAATAGCCCTCTGTCATGGACAACTCGAATATATCTCAAGCAGTAAATCCATTACATCTGTTTTCCTTGAAGGAATTTGGTATGAGAAACCTTGATATGATCCAAAAGAATTTTGCAAACCTCAAACATGCTGACTATTAAAGCCGAGAGCCTCACTGGATGTAACAATAGTGAGAGAATTTTCATTATTTCAGCTCCATGTCCGCTCATCAAGTCTTGTAGCGAGACTTCACGAATCATTTCAAACTCTATTAGCTAATAAAGATTGATACAGTCGGGAATAATGCTGCTCATAAAACAGCCGCTTGGACAGACGCTTCTTTTGCTACGGCAGTCTCATTCTTTATCTTGCCTATACAAAGCAGGAAGAGCATTTGACCGTCGCTCTAGTGAAGAGCACGGTATTGAAGTTCTAAACATGAGTCACCGATTTCCGATTGAAGAGGCGGTATTTCCACCATTGCGATTATCCGAGTCTGCCAAGGACAAATTTAACAACACAGCATCAACGCACCTCACAATGGCGTTGCGTGAATACGATAAGTATCGGTCGTGGCAACTGTCGCGACCGCCAAATCTCCGGTATCAGCTTCATCCGGCTATGTGGAAGCCCATTAAAACATGCGAGCAACTCACTGTCTATCGTAAAGTACTCGTGGATGATTCAATGGCAGCCGTACCTGCCGAAGGATTACGACGACGAGCATACAGTCGATCGCTTGATGCACTGAGATTGGAAAGAGCCATCGACTCCGTCTCATCCACTACAAAAGAATCTGTGACTGGTTTTTCATGGTCAGAGGATCGAACGAGCAGTAGTGAGTGGAACATGCCTACGCTACTTCAAGTGGGAACAATTGAAGGCACATTGGACGACATCATGTACAGCTCCGTCTCATTCGATGCACTTGGGACATTAATTGAGTCGATGTACACTACCGAAGATATTGTGGATGCTGAAACTCTATATGAACTCGAAAGTCCGACTAAAGAAGAGCCGTTTCGGTTTCGTGGAATAAAGTGGGTCGTCAAGTCCACTCCATCCACGGTAAAAGCGTTTTTGTGGCCTCGAGACCTTCTATTTCTCGCAGCTACTGGTACGCTAAATCGACCAGATGGTGAACGAGTGGGATATCATTTGATGCACTCGATCGATCTTGGTAAAGGTTTTGGTCCACTCGATGGAAAGCGGATCGTACGTGGTCGAGTCTCTTCTTGTTATTTCTATCGCCAGAACTCTCCAAACACTGTAGATGTTTACATGAAGACCAACTTTGATCCGAATGGATTAGTGCACGAAAGCGTCGCTTTACTCTCGGCTGCGACGAGCCTCACTCGTTGTATTAAGTCGTCACTATGTGCTCAAAACAAAAAATTATCGTGGCTATTAGCTCATCCAACGACTAACGAGATGGAAGCAGGATCTGCACGACCGAACAATGTCCGAGCAAAAAAGCGCAATGACTGTTCAGTGTGTACGAGATCGATTGGAGCCTTTTCGCGATGCTACTCATGTCGAGTTTGTAACGCACGTGTGTGTTCCACCTGTTGCGTTAAAAAGAAACTAGGATTTCCTGGCCCAGCATACAAGACTGTTGAACAGCGGGTGATCATTGTTTGTACGCACTGTCTCACGTATGTTCGAAAACTGAACGCATCGGAAATCGCCGAGCAAGATGTTAAGGAGCGACAACATTTGAATCAACGAAATGGCTTTGTTCAAGGAGCGCAAGTCTTATCGCGCAACAACCGAAGTAACAGTCGACCTGAAGTCAACAGGCAACGACGTGGCACTATCGCTGAACGTGCTACTAACGAACAGGATTCAAAAGATTCAGACGATGAAAAGGTATTTCTTACGGCTCCTGGTCGGACAAACCGAACACTATATCAGTTTGACTTCGATGACCTGACTGTACAGTCTTCTACATTGAAAAATAACGACGTTTCGGGGGTTGTCCTACTGCCTTTAGCCCCGGAACCAAGCCAAACTCGCACAAAAGCTATGAAGTCGCGGAGTAACAGCCAACAGATGGGATCAATTACAAGCAAGAGCAAGCCTGATGTGTTAAGCATGAAAGTCAACAAAAAGGAATCAACCGACTGTTTCGTGAAAGATTCTGTGGAAATGTCGATGCAGCAAGATGTGCCAGTGCTCGATAATGCACTTCCTACAGCTGAAGTGCAGTATGCTTGGGGAGAGGTTGTGCCGTCTCCAACTAATAATAATTTATCTGAGACTTTAACACCGCCAATAAAGAAAATGGAGAATATGTGGTCGAGTGGTGAAGAACAAAGTGCAACGCCATCCATTTTGCAGCCAACGTCGATTCCTCGTATTCACGCTGGAGCCTCGGCTCAAGAAGTGCTTGCACAATTCGCGGAACTTTGTAACGCTGCTGAAAATGTGTTGCAAGCCGCACGAAAACACACAATCACGGTTTTAGATCCAACAATGCTCACGTGTCAACAGAATACGAGATTTGATATGAGTGCCGTCGATTGACATTTTATCTTAAAAACAGCAAGTTAACTCTGAGAAGCACTACATTCTAGAGTTTTTTTAATAAAAGCGGGTTTCTTATTACAATCTGCGCATTTTTCATACTTTGCTCCCAGAAGAAGAACACATTTCAAAGCGAGACAATGTCGTAATAATTGACAGGTAATGAATGCTTACCGTTTCAAAAATTTCAGTGGGGTACGAACGGGGTTGTAAGTGGATAGAAATCATTCGAGCGATTGGATTTGTTGATGTCACAATTTTCAAAATTTTCACTTGATCATTTCATTAAGTTGCCTAGAAATTTGAATGTCCTAAAGCGTGTGGTGTTGCTGGAGGGTAACGCTTTGACGTAATGCGATTGAGTGCGTAACGCTTCAGCACTCACAAATGAAGTGCGTAATTCGTTGCAACTTTAAGACCATCTTCCCATACAAGCCGTATATGAAGCCAAGTTTGTATCAATAATGACCTGACCTACCGGTCGATGCCAATTATACAGTGTAAACAATCTTTTTGTAAACACGCTTTCATAAGTCTGCTATTAGTTGTCCGTTCCTAGAGGTGTTGACGCGACACGGTCGCTATGTTAGGAGCAAACAAGTCACTAGACATCAAAAACTCCAATATTTTCATCCGGAAACATAAAACTTTGATAATTTGATATACCTCTTTATATACATAAACAAGTCTAGTTCCCATGTCATTTGCAATGTCCTCATCGCCGCATAAGCGTCCCATAAGTGCGAGACTAAAGCGCTGCAACTCGTTGCGCATTCTACTTGGCATACTTGTGATACTCATGCTAGTTGTGCTCTTCATGGAGATATCGTTTGTCTCATCCGATATCGAGCTCGAGAAGTACCGGGAAATTAGTCGCGCAATTGCTCTTGCTGCTGAGACCTCTATAAATAGCTCGTTTACAATTGCAGATAAATTCTATCCGGATGAAATATTATCCATCGACTGGAGTAAGCATATCAAGAAAAGTGATATCGTGCACCAAGCGGCATTGTATCAAGCCTGTTTGCGACACAAGACGAGTGTCATCTTACCCTCATATGGGCGATCCGAAAAGAACGAAACTTGGAATCTTATGCAACTTGTCAATCAGACCGACCCGGAACGGTTCCAGAAACTGCAGCAATGTCCTGATATCGACATTTTTGTGCCCGAAGGACTACGAAATTTTGGCTATTGCGAGGACGCCGCGGCTTATGCGAAATGTAAGTAATTGGAAAATTATTGAAATTCTTTTCAATTAATCCACCTATTTGAAGTTCTTGAGGCAAGAATGCTACCATACTGGGCGCTGGACCCCAACAAATCAAGCAGCGAATCTACTTACCATGATTCATGTCAGAACACGCCCGTTATTTTCTTCAACCACTATTCAGAAGGTTTGCTTGACCTTCCGAATTGGCCTGCAAATAAGCCAGTCTACTTGATGCCGAATATTGAAATGTTCGAACTGGAAAGTGAGCATTATTGGAGAGCAGATGTAATTCTGTGCAAGACAGCATTGTGTTATAGGTATTTGAACAAATGGTATGAACAGGCTGGGAATCCGCGAGGAACGAGAGTTTTATACACGCGCCACACGACGTCGAATTTGGCGATGGTATACAAAAGCCAATTGAATTCGAGCGCAACGGGGATAAGTCTGAATAAAGACTTTGCAAATGTAAAGTTTTTGCATACAGTGGGCAGCAGTACTAGTAAAGGAACGATGCAAGTTTTGGGTTGCTGGTTGAATCGGCCCGAATTACCACGACTGGATTTGTACATCTCTCAAAGTATCTACGACGATTACAAAAAGCGGAAATTTGTTAGGCTGATTAGAAAGAGAAGAAATATCCATCTTCATACCGGTGTAATGGAACCCGCCGCATTCGGACAGCTTATTGCGAATTCGGCTTACTTTATGTGTCCGAGTCAGCATGAAGGATATGGACATTATATTAATCAGGCGCGATCTTCGCGTGCTCTGATCATTACCACGGATGTTGCACCCATGAACGAGTTGATTACGCCTACCTCCGGTATACTGATTCCCGTAAAAAAAGTGGCGCTTGATGATCAATTTTTAGGTGGCATATCCATGAAAAAGCACGCTTTGAGAGGCGTCCAGGGTTTCTATGCTGACTTTCACGCCGCCACTTTGTGCAGCGCCGTGAGCAGACTACTAAACACAACAATCGAAGAGCGCATGAAACGCGCTGACAAGGCTCTGCAGCAGTATTACTTTGACACGGTCTTTTTTGCTCACAGCATGCAAAGTCTTCGGGCGATTGCGCGCTATTACAAACTCCACAATCATTTGCGGTACGATGACTTAAACGGCATATGATGATCAGCGCAAAAAGGTTTAGTTGTATATGAGTGAAGAGGAGAAACAGAAGTTATTGGTCGTTAGTGAAGAGCCGATATCATCTGACATTTTTGACAGGTAAAAGGAATGATACATCTGGGTGTCTTTGATTTATAATGGATAGGAAAGATGTTTGATCTGATCGCTGCTTACGATATTCGAAAGCAGTGTCACGATAACAATCCATTACGTATGCATGTATATATCACATGCATTGCATTGCACTGAGGTCACATGAAATTATGACCTATCAAATTAGAACTCGGCAATTCAACCCCCACAATTGCTACCAATGCGATCGCCGATGCGTTTGTATGGCGCTTCTTATAGCAACCCATAAGGATAGTAGTTTATTATCATGACAGCCATCTTATGGACACATCATCTCAGCATCTCTCAAAGCATTCGATTGTGCAGAAAATACGTTAGATTTGAGACCCAAATTACCATTTGTAGTAAAATTTACAGCTTTATAACGTTGCATTTGTTCCAACCTGGATTTTAGTGGCAGACGATCCAGATGTCATATATGAAGATTCGGCGCTGGGACTAGGCAAAACATCTACTTTATGCCGCCTGACCAGGATTGTAATAAAGTTAACATCTTGCAGTTTGTGCCATCCGATCAACAATCTGAACCCCAATTGAAGTACGGATAGATTATTGTGTGACATTCCGTAGTAAAGTTTCGTTGATAGTCAAGCTGTATTTACTTTCTTCACTCCATCGTCTGATTTAAGAAGGATATTACATAACAAAGGAGTTGTCGCTGCCGCAATTTAAAATAGAGAGGCATCATCTAGAAAAAATTCAACCGCCGCCTCTCGTAATCTTGTCCATCATTTTTACATCAGTCATTTACTGGCACAAGAAACGACTACTCAAACTCGTTTTAACGAGAGCGCAAGACTTAGGCCATGGATGAGAAAAGAGAGACCTCACTTCCACTACCAAAGCTAGCAAATGATCCGGCATTTGTGGGTTCGAGCCCTAGCAACGATGGATACGTAACTGTGCTGACACCCGACAATAAAGCGCTGGCGCCTGGTATGGACGGCCCCGATTTTGATCCGAGCGGCTTGCGCATGAATGTTTGGACCGTAGATTTGTTTGACGGTGATTTGCGCACTGCCTACTACTGGTGGGTCTGCTGCTGTCCTTGCGTGCCGTTAGCACAGCTCGAGACTCGCTTGGGACTTAACTCGTTTATTGTTGGGCTATTGATTGATCTCATTGCTTTTACTGGCCGCTTTGCATTGATTATAACCGCCGTGATCACTATATGCTACGGTTATGTTGTTATCTCCGTTGTGTGTCTGGGGTTGTGGGCCCTTAGCTTGAATTGGGTCGGTCATCGCGTTGCCCGAGTGCGTGTGCAGACCCGCGAGCGCTTGGATATTGCTGGCACCTTTCAGCAGGATTTCACAACGGGGCGCATTTTTAGCGCTAGCGCCATTCGTCAAATGGCTGTACAGCTTAAGTGTGATCAGCTGCACTTAGGCGCTCCAGCTACGCTTCAGGCATACCAAGTGTAGGTGTCAGTGGAAACGAGAATGTATGTGCTGCAAATCAAATGAAATTTTTTCAGAATAATTGATTTTTCGTACAATTTTCACGGTGTACACACTGCAATTAAGCGAATTGCTATCAGAATTATATTCTGAAATTAAGATTCTTGAAGCTTAGTGATTATCAAAACATTCGGTACTAATGTCAGATGTGGTTGAAGTAGCCGAGGACTAAATGTGTAAGATGTTATGATAAAAAACGCTGTTCATTTCTTCTATAATACACAACAGTCTACTGGCCAACCTGTCATCATTGCTTTTAAAAGACAAAGCTGTTTAGCGTATGTGACGTCTGATAATATTGTACGACAAGATGGATAGGAGCATTTCAAATGTGCTTAATAGTTCCGAGAGCAAAAACTCTACAGCTTTTCGCAAAGTCGTACCCACATCGTTAAGGCTCAAAACCTTATCTGCCACGTTTCTCGTGATCTAGTATTACGTTTTTATCTCTTCGGACTTATTTCCAAGAGCAATCATCGAAGTGTTTAATTCTATTATAAAGAAAATCGATTTCTGTGTAAGATCAAATTTAATCTAATGAAGTCTGACATTAGACCAAAACTAAACTTTTCACATACCAAAGAAGCTCTGTGTGACGAAATAATGTTTTGATAGTGGGTAAGGCTAATGGTCGTATCTCAGTGCAAAAGAGCTCCAGCTGCAACTAATACATTCAAGAACTCTTCACAGGTACTATTCGCTGCTTTGAAGTATGCCTCGAGATTTCCAATTTCATATCTCACATTGAATAATGCCCAAAACTCGTTGAAGCAGAAACCCCATTATGTCTTCTACAAAGTAGAATTTGATAGCTAGGAACAGAAAAACTTCATGTGCTTCAGGGTTGCCCTACAGTTAATGTGACTTAAGATTTAAGACCCCACAAAAGTGTGACAATGTTTGGGTCGTCAACGCTACAGGCAGCATCATCAATGACTGTGTCACTGTCGCCCTCGTCAACGACAGCATCATCAGCGACGTGACTTTCCCGAAAGACACTGCATGACAGGCCTGGTAGTCATTTGCAGGCATATAGAATCTGATAAGGCACTAGAGTGGGTTTCGAATATTCAAGAGCAAGGCTTCTATTATTGCCGACCAATGGTGTTAATTCCGGGACAATGCTGGTAGTTTAAAGAAAAGTCATCAATAGTTTAACTTGATTTTTGCCGCTTCTCGCTCGAGACTAATTTTTGCTCGGTTTACGTTACGTTCGCCAGAGGGTATGCCGTAGCAAATATTGGAAGAAATCATGTGGGAGGCTCGCCACGAGATTCAGATCATACAATTCATACGAATCGATTATGGTATCTAGAACAAGTTTTATATCGCGACACATGTTAAGGAAATACGCAGATTCTGTCAGCATGATTCGGCTGAGTGCGAACGCTAATCATTGGAGACGTAAGTAGATCGAGCCCGTGCAAAATATAATTTGAAGTGATACAGTAGATGATATTTTTTCTTGTGGCTGCCAAGCCGTTGCTTACTTGTCCTACAATCTCACAAGATATTTCTTGCGCGTTACTGTGGGTCATGTCATTCTCTTACGGTAAAGTTTCGGTGGTGCAGCTGGTGTGGGACCTGTTTAAGTGGAATACTCCATCGGGCATCATAACTTGCTGTAAGTACCTCCAATTTAATGAATCCGACGATAACGCTGGCGCTTGGCGTGGTGAAGGAATCCGGGTCGAAGATTTTAATGCGCGTAGCAACTTGGTAATAGATATTGCCTATTGTATATTTGTTTGCAAACGTTTCCGGTGAATTACCTTGCGTTAAAGTTGAATTCGATTACGCAGGTGGCTGGTTGTACTTAGAGAAGAAGAGAAGAGGAACCGAGCTTTGTGCGCCTTCCAGACATGGCGTATTACAGCTGTAGTCTTATAAGTACACACGTTGAACTCTTGGCAGTCGTTTCATATGTCCTCTCAATCAATATGCAGTTTGCACACGATTTCAGGATAGATGCAACAATATAAGTCGCGCGGTCGAGTATAGGCAGAATGGCGGCGCAGTCATACTGAAAGGTATATAGCTCAAGCGTCAAACGAGGTATGAGCAGAGATTGAGGTATAGTAAGGCGATCAAGCTGGATCAAACGTTGCCGACTGTAGTTGTGACTTAACGTGGTGAAAAAGAAATTCTCAACGGAGCTGCCGTGCACTTTGCCCCGACGAAGCTTTGATTCGAAAGGTCTCCGTTAAAAAACAAACATTGGCTGGTTTTTTGGCTCACACAAGAAGCTAAACCGGGCCTTCTAAGGTAGCTGATACCGTTACGCCACTCTGCTATCTTAACAAGTCATGCATTTAGAATTAAACTACTGAAGTTAAAGTAAACAAACTCGTAATAATATCTTATAAAAAGGATTTTTATTTTGGTAAGAAATCCTCCTTGTCGATGTAAAACCACTGCCATAAATACCAAGACCCGCTTACATATGCAACTACGATGTAAATCTCGTACAACTGTTCCGTATTGTTCATAATGCAGTTGTATATAATGTGTAAGGTTTAGGCACAAGACGACAGTACGTGCACATTATCGGCCTCTCTAAAATCTCGCTGAGATTCCAAAACTTGCGTCCATGATCTCTCCCAAATTAGGTAGTGGACCATACTAGGGCTTACATTTAAATTTCTTTTTCAAGACACAATGCAAAAGTGGCCGCTCCTCGAGCAACTACTGAGCCTATAGTTCTGCCTCACTCTGTTATCTTACCGGCCGTCTTTTCTGAGTATACTTGCAACGAGAATCCACTCCTGTGCAACAAGCCTGATCGCTTTACAAGCTCTGCTTGAAGCCCGGTCTTCGCAATTGACGGGCTGATAGGAGTTTTCGGTGTGAATTTCGAGGTTTTTCCAGTAAGAGAAGTCCGCCCTCAATTGGCAATACACAAAATGCAAGCTCCCAAGGATGAGACACCACTTGTGCTTAGCCTCCCTATTTCATAAGTCTCGGACTGAGTGACGATTTCAATAGGAGTAAGTGCTTCGGTACCCCACCGTAGATCTTACAACGCTGTCCAGCTCGTTACTGCCAGGCTAGTAGCCTCCTGTAATCACAAGAGTCACATCGACTCGTACCCAAATCACTCCATGGCCATGATTTACCAATTCAAAAGCCACTACACACGATTGTGTGGATCACCTTCATACGTATGCGTGAAGGTCCTCTGCCCGTTTGTAAAGTGAAATAAGCGCGAGGAATTTCTCCGCAAGCTCTTTTTCAGCAGGTCATAACGAACCAGGAGTACTACCTTCATTTTGAGCAGCAGCGAGAGAGGATGCCTGTGCCCTCCTGGAGGAATACACCATGGGTACTAGCAGCTACAAAAAACTCGCCGTGGTTTGCGAATATGGTGAGAAAAACACGCCGCTTTACTGAACATAAGGTATCTTAAGGTAGCTTCGGTGGAGCAGATGGCCGCCTAGCGCGTCGTCTCGAGTTTAACATTGAAAGTCATAAAGCACGACGCGGATGGCGAGGTGAAACACATTACCTCAAGTTCCAGCTGATTACAGCTCATCTCTTCTTCATGAGACAGCTGTGAAAACTACCGACAAGGGAATAAAATCAACATTAAGTCTTCACCCATTGGTGAGAAGGGAGCTGCTCGGAAGACCATGCCGGTAATATATGTGAGATGGAGGCCACGGGTGCGCCAGATTGTAAGTGGTTACAGCACAAGGACATCTTGCCAGAGTGGAGCTTTAAACTCTCATGAGGTTTAAAGACGAAAATAAACCTTTTCGATCGCCAACGACCCTGGTGTACCTTCAAGCCCGCCAACCTTCTATATGTAAGTGGGCTACTTCTCGCTTCTTCGATCGAGACTGACCCTTTTGAGATTGACCTCGATTACAGCGGCACGTTGAGAGTCAAGGCGTGCATTCGAAACTGAGATGATCGAGACCTTGTATACGATCTTAAAGCTTCATTATTGCACTGCCTGGCTTGAGACACCTCAGCAATTCAGAGCAGTATCGTTGCTTCAGAGCAGATATAGCTCAGCAACATGGAATAGCAGAGACGTTAATCCGTCTGCAACAGAGCCGAACTAACTCGTTACAGCAGAATGGCTTCACCTTACCCACATATAAAACTAGATGCGCCTACACTCTTTATCGTATAATTCTGTTCCTTTTTCGCTACGACCGTGGATAGTCCGATGTAGTGTGACCACGTAAAAAAATGTTTATCGCATACGCGCATGTGTTGGTAGGTAATCTGATCTAATCACATCTGTTCCTTCACAACTGGTTTTTGTGTATTCCGCATATCAATGAATATAAGGTGTTGCTTTGTATGCCTTGGTTTTCAGTCATAGCGTCGTACATCCCGGGCATCGCGCTCAATTTGATTGAAATATAATCAGTTTTTCAACGAAATGTAGTTGGAATGATGGTATCAGCAAGTCGGATTTAATCACAAGTTTCTACCGCAATAAGACTGGGGTCGCTTCGTGGCGTTGTCAAAGACACAAGGATGTTCATTCAACCGCTCATGATATATGGAAGTAGTGGCATCACTGCTTTATTTAGCGCAACATCAATGCATTGAACAACTCTCATCAGTGCCGCGCAAATATCTTCATAAAATTACTTACGCGTTCGGTCTGACCAAGCGTGCAGATGGTCCACGGTTGACATATCCGATCTGGTACCGATCACCTTGAATCTTGTTTGCCAAAACTTCGCTGTAAAGCGCAGATCTCTATTCGACATAATTGCTATCGGCAAACCATGTTGGTGAATTACTTCGTCAACGAACCGCTGATGGTACCTTACCGGTCACACTTTCACTTACAGCATGCGAGATGAGTCGTCTTACTCAGAGGGTCCGCAAATACCACATACCGATAGATCAAATGGGTTTTGAAGACTGAGAAAAGCTCCGTACCAATGGACTGCAATCACTCCGTCAGAATCGGCAGGCGAACCTCAGGTACCGTCGTATGCGATGAGGGGTTTTTTATCGACACGTTTAACACCTGCGCACGTTGTGCTTAGACACTCAAAGATGTTTTGAGCCGCAAATACATAGCGCTCGGCGAGCAGTATGCCTTTACTCTTTCAATGGGGTATCATGTGGCTTGTGTAGTAAGCATTCTGTACTTGAGGGGCTAGGCTTATCGTGATACATCATGTCATGTAGGCGAGTGCTGTAATTCAATAATCTCTGAGATAAGGTTTAGCAGTTTTGCGTGCAACAGCGCGTTGTGATGCAGCATTTTTTTCTGAGTAAACAGATTCGGAGTAGTTACTGGAGCGTGCAAATTTGAGACAATAGCTTGTTGTATTGCATTGTGTAGTTACTGACTGAGTAAGTACAATTGGAATTATTAATTCGAGCGTGTAAACTTTCGTTTAAATAAAGCGTTGCTTCGATGGAGCGACATCTGTGCTCTCAATTCTCTTGCTATCTAGTGCTTCCAGAAAAGCAACGCACATTGAATTTGATCCGTTCGCTGCAAGTGATGCTTCGTCAATTGGCGACGTTACTATTGTGACATGCAAAATGTCATAGACTGGGCAACGCAAAAGCACATCCACCTTTACGTTAAGACGACCTGGCTTATACCATTGGCTTTCAGATAAAAATGATACTCATCTTTCTACTCTCTATGAGTGATGCGGTGATGATGCCGCTCTGAATAATGATGCATGATCTGTATCAGTCATTGAAGGTTCCTGAGCCAAGCAGTTGCAATTTGAACGTACGAGATATTACTGATCGCATGTAGCGCCGTGTCAGGAAAATCCTTTTTTTTATTTCTCGTCATACTCAAGCGCAATTTTGCGCTCATGCTCATTTGACATCTTGTCAGGTAAAGCGAGTCCATCGCAAATGTAAAGCATTAAAACGACTAGAAATTGCCGGTTTAGGTTCGGAAGATCTAGCATTGGGCAAGTATTAGAATTTACTCACAACCCCAAGGACACCATTTCTGCTCCAACTCAACACCATTCTACATGTCTGTAAGAAGACTTCTGACGTTTCTACATGTGGGCATATTAGGCTCCGTGTTTGTACCCGTAGTTGGCCAAGCCAATCCAATTCCTAACGTCTTCTGCGACGAACGGTACGGTATTTAATCTTAAAAGCTATTTTCTGAAAAGCTTTGGACGCTCGACCTTCTGAAGTTTTTCGGAACAAAGATATTGGCCAATCCACGGCGGCCTTAGTCTTCGCGAGACCTCCTCTTTCTCATTGAAGAAGCTCAAAAAAGGATTTGGTGGCACCGAAGACGCACTTGTTTAAAAGTGTACTGCTAATTCCGCCCTCCCGACTGAATAGCTCATCACGCAGGGCAGAGGAGCTTAAAAGTAAGTGGCGATAAAACGTACTCACTCGTGAATGTAGTGACTGGGGTGGTCTTAAGGTTGTAAATATATTATTATTATAGAACTGCAATAGTTAAAATTGGGGGTATGAAAGTACTTTCAAATTGGTGGGGTTAATGGCTGTACGTGGAGGGAAGGCGAGCTCTGTCTCCATTGAGGAAAAATCTTTTCTTCAGGATACTTGCAGAGCGCAGAGTGCGAAGAGCGAACATTGATCTTTAGACATTTTGCAGGTTCTTTCTAACCTTGAGCGGTTGGTTATATGTCTTTTAAACCCGCGTCATTAATCTACTGGCGACGCAGCTGTGCAGACCACATCGCAGTTATACACAGACCTAATTCGTCGATTTATCCGTCCAAGTCGTGGAGAGCATGGGAGGTCGGATGTGGAACACCACATCGACCACCCGGGAGTGTTCCTCAAACGTATGCGCTTAAGTTTTATGTTTGCCAATTATTGTGGTAAGACTCCTCTTGTTATCAGGGTACGACCATTTTACTCATGACTTACGGTCGCTCTTTAACTCCACTGTCTCGTCAGCGATACACTTCAGGTGCCACGACGTACTGTAAGCATTTTATTCTCACTGATACACATTCCGCGATATACAATTGATCCTTTCTGTCTCATTCTGACCGCGGAATACTGCCACTTCTACCTTCCCAGCTTGCTCAAAGCGCCTGGCAATGCCATTGCTACTTGTCTTGCATAGAACTTATTGCAGCTTTGGGACTGCATCAAAGAAGCTTCTGTTTTCAGGAGAGAAATTGGTGGCACCTAAACTATTTCGACTTCCGGTCTTCCTTGGCTGGGGCGATTCTGTCATACCATACCTAAAATAAGATTGTACCGTGAGACCAGATTCAGAATCAAACAACAGTTGACGCTGTCAAAGTATTTAAACTCCACCTGAAAGTTTTACATAACCTTTGACAGTTTTACCCGCGTCTCCTTCGCAGGACGTACAAACGTCGTACACATGTTGGTTTCTTTGTTACCACTGCTGTTTGCCGATTGTTGTTGGTAGTCGTGCGTCGTACGTAACTATGCGTCGCTCCTGCATCTGTCAGAGCTTTCCGCGGTTTCACAAAACCGGGGTTCGTTGATACCAACAATCACCACTTATGGGCTATGAGCCCTCCTCAATTAGAGAAAGTCGCTCCTTTTACGGCTAAATAATATTCACCACAACCTACGCGAAATCCGTTTCCTTCACAGTTAGCCGCCCTGTGCGTCTATATATATTCGACGTTTTTTCGCAAGTAGTTCGTCGTATCTCCTTGCATGGAAGCCCGACTATTCTTACCTGTTGGCCGAGAGCAAAGAGGCAAGCAAGCTGCAGATGTTTTACTTACGGTAGATCGAAACATCTGCAAGTACCGCGGAGTTGCTCAGCATCTCATTGGCATGATTAAAACTCACCCCTACAAGCCCCTCACGGCGCGAAAGTTTACTATACATTATATGCGATACTCACCGCTTCTCAAAAGCGGTAGAATAGACATGGAAGATCTTGGTGCGATCCGCACCCTCCTGGAGACTCTATTTATAAATGACATTTGTTACGATCGCCATATGAAGTCTCTGATACCATTGCGGTGATAGAATCTTTAAGTTTTGGAAGTTATTTGCCACTTATCGCCTCCCATCAAGGTTGAACAAGAGCATCGATTGCACCCGATAGGGTGGTGCGACCACCGGCAACATCTGTTTCTACAAGTCATTCCGCGTTGGAAATGCTTCTCTTACTTAGGTATTTCACGTTAGAGCCCATTCTTGCAAACGAATTCTTAGCCCGAAGATCGAAAGCGCGACGCGCTGTCACTCCATTCGAGCAAGACCGAATATATGACAAAAAGGCACCTGAGCACCGAATGGCAAAATGTAAAGTAAATATTTCTACTGGAATTATGTACATTTATGCGCTTGTGGATGGCCTCTTTGCTAAATCTTCACTGGATACTTGGTTAACCCCAACTTGCGCAATCAGCCTGTGCACACCGGTGATGTCGATATCTACCGGTTAGCGGCTGCTTCCTTGGTAGCACTAGTCTGCGCGACGGGGCGCATCTTCAGCAACAATATATGCTCATCGTGACTTCTATTATCCAAATGAAGTTATTTCTCCGTCTCGGCCGTCAAAGGCATGGCGCTACAAAATCAGTGGAGTCAAAGTGGAAGCCATCTGTTTTGCACACTCGATCCCCAGCTGGGATGCTTCTGAATGTGCCTCACCTGGTTCGCACAGGTGCGGCGAGCAATTTCTGCTCCTGCCCTGTAACCGCCATTGTTCTGGACCCACGATCGACATCAGCTTTTTCAGCTAGGCAGAGAGTACAGTTCTTTCACGACTCGATCGTTGGATCGACAATAAGAGCTACCAAGTGCAACGGGATTGCCGTGCACTTTGCACAGAGAAAGCTTTGACTCGTAGCGTTTGCGTTATTCCAAGAGTATTTTTATTTAGATTTAATGCTAATTTAACCAACACAAAATATATCAAATATAATCTCGGTACTTATAAATCTCACCAAGTGTAAAGTTGTGCCGTATTGTATTAACTAAAAATATACCAAATCTGAAGGCTAGATTACACTACTACGCTTTATATTCGAGCATTATTATATCTTGGACTCCTTATTAGTACTATTTGACGTATTCAACATTTAAAAAAGTAAATTCTTCAAATATGCACAAAAATATTACCTTTTCGTACTAATTCCATAATGTCAGAGCTTTATGAAAACAAAGTATGCCTATCGCCGATGGTCCGCTCGGTATGTGCCATTGCATGAATTTTTGCCACACAAGCTTTATAACCCATACGACTTGAAAAGGGAACTTTACCGTTGCGACTGCTGTCGCTACGCTATGGCGCTGACCTTGTTTACGGCGAAGAGATCATTGATAAGCGCATCATTTCGTCTATTCGTGTGCCGAATGGTATTGTTGGCTACTAACTGAAGTTTTCCGTCATATTGACTATGAGTTGTCGTCTATATCAAATAAAAAGAGGTCGTCAATGCAGTGGATTTTGTGAGTCGCAACGGTGACTCGGTAGTATTCCGCACATGTTCGGAAGAGTCCAAAAAAATAGTTTTCCAGATTGGAACAGCTGATGCAGTATTAGCGCTGAAGGCGGCGGAGATGGTGTGAGTTATTGCATCAACCGCAAGCTGTTGTCGAAAATACCGTCGTTATATTGATTGTTTACCACTTGTAGAGCACGTGACGTAGTGGCTGTGGATATAAACATGGGCTGTCCTAAACACTTTTCAATTCAAGGAGGAATGGGAGCAGCCCTTTTAAAGAAACCAGAAGTGGCTTGTGATGTAGGCAAATGATTGAGCATAAAAATTGTCATTTAGCTGATGAGCTTGTGTATATCCTGTATAGATTATGAAAAGCCTGCGGCGAAATCTAAATATCCCAGTGTCATGTAAAATTCGTCTTCTTTCAGAAACTCAAGACACGGTTCGAAATGTTTTAGTATGATTTTATGAAAGCGTCCTTTATATCAAACATTTTGGCAGATCGATCTTGCGAAACGCTTAGAACATGCAGGAGCTTGCGCGATTGGTGTGCACATGCGCCAGGTTCACGAACGCCCTCGTGACAAGGCGAGCTGGGATAGGTTGGCGCCCATTGTATCGGCGTTATCTGTTCCAGTGCTTGCAAACGGCGATGTCTTTGCGTATGAAGATATGAAAAAGCTTCGAGCAATTTCCGGCGTATCTTCTTTCCTCATTGCTCGCGGAGCATTAGCAAACGCGTCTATATTTCGAGAAAATGGCCGGTTGCCTGTTGATCAAGTAGTGCGCGAGTATCTGATGGCCGCTGCAGAGGTAGACAATGTATTTCAAAACACCAAATACAACGTGATGCGAATGATTCCAAATTCGCACGCAGACGCATACGCCAGCGAAAACAATTATGGGTATGGAAAGAATGCCCGTGTTGTGACTGTTTCTGAACTGGCTGCGACAAAGAATCCCTTGCAAATGTACTCGCTGTGGGATTTGCAAAATTGCTATCTCCAGTGTCAGGATCAGTTTCGTGTCAAAGCGGCTGCAGTGAAAGAGAAGGAAAATTTACAGGACCAGATTCTCCGAAATTCAGCCATATCGCCGCCAACGGAAAATCATCACGGCAATGACTCGAAAGATATTGAGTTTCATGACAATCTCATGAGCAAACCTGAACTTTACTGCGTGGCCTGTAAAAAGCAGCTGCTTAGTGAGCAGGACGTCAAATTGCACTTGAAAGGTCGAAAGCACAAAAAAGTGTTGAGTCGTCAAGCTTCCGCCACCTTTTCAAAGGTATATGCGAAAACGCAGCTGGAGCAAAACCTTCCGACAAGTGACGCAACTCAATCGAGCAACACTGACAGTGGCGGAATGGAATTTCGACAATGCGAAGAAGAAAGCAAGCGTGATTTCAAACGCAGTAAACTTGAGGACTCTGTTACAATAGCATAGACGAGATCTCAATTATGTTTCATGCATTTACCTAAATCGAATTTTTGCGGAGATACGCTTGTGTGAACTTGCTTACAAAGAAGTTACAACACACATGAAACGAAAACTCCTGTTCGCTTAATGCATTAATTTACGGCTTCGTTTCACATGTCTTACTGCCAATGTAAAACAATTTGCTGTTCTGCAACAGTCTTGCTGATTGAAACGCTTCGTCTTGGACATGTTATTTATAAAAACATTACCGCTGTTATTAAACCTATTTCAAAGTGACTTGAGCTTTCAGACTTTACAACGGCGTCGTCGTTGTTGTAATTCAAAGACACTTGAAGCAAATTCACAACATCGTTCAAAACTCACCATGCGAAAGTATCGATTAGTGGCCAAAAAAGGCGAAGGCACATTCTCCGAAGTTTTAAAGGCTCAGAATGTTAAGGACAGCAAGTTTCATGCCATCAAGTGTATGAAGAATCACTTTGAAAGTATTGATCAGGTAAACAACCTTCGCGAAATTCAAGCACTGCGGCGATTGTCACCACACCAGCACATTGTTAAGCTAGAGGAAGTGTTGTACGACCAACCTTCGGGTCGTCTAGCTTTAGTCTTTGAGCTGATGGACGCCAACCTATACGAAATGATTCGTGGTCGACGACATTACTTAAAACCCGAGCTTGTGCAATCGCTAATGTACCAACTTGTTAAATCACTCGACCACATGCATAACAAAGGCATTTTTCATCGTGACATCAAACCGGAAAATATATTGGTTGAGGATAGTAGCAAGCTGAAACTAGCCGATTTTGGGTCCTGTCGCGGTATTTACTCCAAGCAGCCGTATACCGAATACATTTCAACGCGGTGGTACCGTGCACCCGAGTGCTTGCTCACTGATGGCTATTATGGACCGGAAATGGATATGTGGGGTGCCGGTTGTGTTTTCTTTGAGATCACATCGTTGTATCCGCTATTTCCGGGCTCTAACGAACTCGATCAAATTCATCGTATACACAAAATTTTAGGTACTCCGCCCATAGATATCCTTGAAATCTTCAAGCGCAAAGGAGCTGCCCATGTTGACTTTAACTTTGGAAGAGAAGATGGAACTAGTATTGCCAAACTTATTCCTCATGCATCTCCCGCGGCCATCGACCTAATGCACAAAATGCTGGTATACGACCCAAGTAAACGTATGAATGCACGAGAGGCGTTGCGCCATGAATACTTTCGAGAAATTCGAGAACTTGAAGATGCAACGTTACGAACACAGCCTCAACAGCATATTGTAGGTCAGAATCAGCAACAACCTCCACTTGGGATCTCAATAGCCCACAAACGACGCAAAGGAAAGGACAACATTGACGCGAAATCGCCACTTCCGTCAATTCAGATTGGGTGAGTCGTATCGTGCTGCAATTGCAAGAGAGAATTTAAAATAACGCTAAATTTGCCCTTGTGATGTAGATCAAACGGCCAGCAGGCTACGTTAGAGTCAAAGGAGACTGCAAGCGTAGTAAGTGATGATGAATTACCGCCCATTAACAACTTGGTGAGTGGCAAAGCAGTGGCTAGCAGCGTTACTACAAGCAAAACTAGCAAATACATATATGGCAAAAACAGTGGTATCAATAAAGCTGGTGAAGGCAGTGGAGGTGGAGGGACTAATTATCACGGTGGACCCTCGAAAGCATTAAAAGTTGGACTTCTAAACGGAAGCGATCTAACGAGTTCTACGCATCACGATGTCAAGGCCCGAAAAAAGGCGATTAGCAAATTGCATAAGAAGGGAATGTCATCTGCACGACCTAGAAAAATTGCGGGTATCTCTGGAGCTTGTGTGGACGCCTCAGGTAGGAGAAAGCCTTTGATAAAAGATTGATTTTGTTTAATAAGCGCATGAATGAATGGTTGCAGGCATTGTATTACGGCGCAAATGATGTTAAAACAAGACAATTGTGATTATGTAAAGGCTGGCATGACTTCTGGCTGTATTTTGCGGATGTGTACCAGCGAAGAACGGTGCAAACTAGTCATTCTAGCTTTAGAGTATCTTCTGTCAAGCATCGATTGATATGCAGTGTTGATTAGTAGACATTATTTGGTATCGCAAGTTGGCTTACGTCAAGAATAGCTTATATATTGGAGAGATTAGTCTTTTGGACGTTGTCATCCGCAATAGAAAGGTAGTGTCGCAATCCCGAATTCGGTTACGATTGCCACCAGATTTATTGTCAACAGAACATCTACATTTATGCGGAGAATCGGAATCAAGCGGCGTAATGCTTTCTTTTTGCCTCGCTGCTACAAGCCGAACAAGTTCATCAAATTTGATAACTCAAAGCCACATCATGCGATCTTCGTGAAGCCCTCCAAGTTTCGACGAGTACATATCGTTGCCAGTACGGCATGAACACGATATATACGCTAAACAAAATGGAGAATATGAAAATAGGCGTTCGAGTTGTTCGATTCATACGACTTGGCTGATGAAGGTCAAATATGTTTGCAGCGCTGGTCGCGTTAAAAGTTTAGGCAAAAAAGTCAATCGCTGACGAGGTTGTACTCTCCTTTCCGTATTGTCTAGAATTAGTGCAAGCGAGTAATTCCTCAGACGCTCCGAAACAATGCTTAAGTCCACATATGATTATCGTGAACATTAAACTTAAATTATTTCTTACTTTGTGAATTTGTCGTCAATATCTTGAAATTGGAATTTTTTCTCCTCATATACTATTTCTTCTAGATTTCTTTCGAAAAGTCAACCTTTGAATAAATTTTGTCTGAAAGTCCACAATATTGATTAGAAGATACCACTTTGAAACTACAATTCACTTATTTATTAAGCAGCAACAGAAAAAAGTTTTTATTAATAAACTACTTACCGAAACTATACAACAATTTTCATTATGCTCAAATTGGTGGCTAACTAGTAAGATGCTTATAAAGACGACTTACACAGATGTAAATGGTGTATTAAGAAAAGATATCACTTTCCCTGATAAATCGACGAATCCGCAAATGGTACTTGCAGCATAACGCCGTCTCAGAAAACTGATTACTTAGCTGTAAAGATCTTCCTCATCCTCATCGGCAGCCTCAGCAGCACCGCCAGCTGTGCCAGCATTGACATTCCGGCCTGGGAATGAAAAATTGGCCAGCGAGGATCCTCCTGCAGTCACATGCGAACGCGCCTGCTGCAATGTCTGTGCAAAAGTCGAGTATTGAGCCAAATCACGATCGCTAACGGAGCGGCGCGCATTGCGCACAGCTTCCTCAAAGTGACGTGGCGTAATCTCAGGCACTGGGTCTTCCTCCTCAATATCCTCCATCTCATCACCAGCCTCGGCACGAAGGCGTTCACGCTCCATATCACGAGCAATACTTTCACGAATCGCCAGCTTCGCAGCGCGTTGACAAATTTCGGTCAAATCGGCACCCGAGAACTTGTCCGTTTGCTGGGCTAAGAAATTTAAATCAACCTCTTTAGACACAGGACTTTTGCGCAAAACGGAACGCAATATGCTCAAACGCGAGTCAAAGTCGGGCATTGGAATAAAGATAAGCTGGTCCAGGCGGCCAGGACGCATAAGGGCGGGATCAATAATGTCGGGACGGTTCGTCGCACCAATGATAAAAACATTCTTTTTAGCACCCATGCCATCCATTTCCGTTAAAAGCTGGTTCATAACACGGTCACCGGCGCCACCCGCATCACCTGCGCTACTGCCACGTTGCTGAGCAATAGAGTCAAGTTCATCAAAGAACAAAACACAAGGAGCAGCACCACGTGCTTTGTCAAAAACTTCGCGTACATTTGCTTCAGATTCACCAAACCACATTGTCAGAAGTTCAGGACCTTTAATGGAGATAAAATTGGCCTGACACTCATTAGCCACAGCCTTAGCCAGCAGAGTTTTACCACAACCAGGTGGCCCATAAAAGAGAACACCTTTTGAAGGACTAAGACCGTACTTCTCAAACTTTTCAGGGTGCTCCACAGGGTACTGCACCAGCTCAAGTAGCTCGCGCTTGACGCTCTCAAGGCCACCAATGTCCTTCCACGTGACAGTAGGTACCTCTACAGTTGTCTCACGCAGCGACGAAGGGTTCGACACGCCAAGAGCGTACTTAAAGTGAGCTTGGGTCACAGACATAGCATCCAAAATCTCAGCATCAATCGATTCGTCCTCAATATCAATCACATCCATCTTCTCACGAATGCACTGCAGTGCGGCTTCAGTGCATAAAGCAGCCATATCAGCACCCACAAATCCTTGAGTGTCACGAGCAATCATTTCCGGATCCACATCATCGTCCAGCTTCATGTTTCGTGTGTGAATACGGAAAATTTCGAGACGACCATTTTCATCGGGGACGCCAATGTCAATCTCTCGGTCAAAACGACCAAAGCGACGCAAGGCAGGGTCCATACTATTTGGGCGGTTGGTTGCACCAATCACAACTACACTAGCGCGTTGCTTAAGACCGTCCATAAGAGTCAACAATTGCGACACAATACGTCGCTCAACTTCACCATTTGTCTTTTCACGTTTCGGTGCAATCGAGTCAATCTCATCAATGAAAATAATTGCTGGAGCATTTTTTTCTGCCTCTTCAAAAGCTTTTCGTAAATTGCTCTCTGACTCCCCCGCCATTTTTGACATAATCTCTGGACCATTAATTAAAAAGAAAAATGCGCCAGTTTCATTAGCCACTGCCCGAGCTATCAGTGTCTTACCCGATCCGGGTGGGCCATACAATAGCACACCACGTGGAGGCTTTACGCCTAATGTCTTGAACAATTGAGGATGACGAAGCGGTAGTTCAATCATTTCTCGAATTTGAGCCATTTGGCGACGGCATCCACCTATATCGTCATATCCGACTTCGTTCATTTTTTCCTCATCCTCACGACGTACAGGTTCCCCCTCACAATGAATAATTGTGTCAGGTGCGACAATACAATATGGAGCAGGCTCTGTCTCCACCACTTTGAATTCAACTGGATGCATCGCCTGACGTACTAAAAAGAGATCGCCTTTTTTAACTGGACGATATGCCTCCACAAAATATGGTTTCAAGTATACATCGAATAAATTGCCAGTTACACCTTCGATCGTATCATCGATAGGCAACACATGGATACGCTTGCCGTATGGTACATCACCACACGTGTGAATCCCCACAACGTCACCAAGCCGCACACGCAAATTCTTGCGAACTACTTTGTTCATGCGGACGTTATTATCATCCACAGTCTCATCCTGCAAAACGACGCAGACCGTGTCGTGACCCTTTTTACCCTTAATAAGCACGGTGTCACCTCGAAAAAGCTGAAGCTCTTCCATCTTGGACATACTTAAGGCGATCACCGAATTGTCATCGTTTGTTGCCTCATCTACCACCAATCGGTTTGGTGACCGTTTACGATCCATGATACCAGCCTTGAAATCTTCCTTTCTATACCAGCATACACAGGACCTTAAGAAATAATCGCACTCTCATTTTCATTAAAAGAACCTACTTGTCGCTCATTCTCCAAACGTTTCTTCACTTTCGATAGCTAGCTTCTATTATTTAAAAACGCAGATCTGCACGACAAGAAATAGAAAATCCTCAGCTTCATTTCATAAAAGTCAAAGATTGCATCTTTCTTCCTTTAAAAATCGATGCAAACTCAAGATATGACCGCCACACTAAATGCTACTCACCTCGAAGCTTCGCGTGTCCCTATTTGGAAATGGGGAGGAATTTCTTCTTAAAGAAGATACCTCTTGTTTCGTGTGGTACACATGATATATTAATGCTCGAGAAGATTCGAATGATTGTTCAGAGCGTAGTACATACATTAAAAGGTCAATATTTACCTCTGTTTTACTATATTCAAAGAAAACTTATCAAGAAATATGCATTCGGTACGTTGCACTCAATCGCGGCGGTTGTTTCGGGACGGTCTGCCGCCTTTGTTGCTTTTTATCAGTGCAACAAGAACACGGACAAAAATGGATACCAGGTCTACAAGGCACATATAATGTCAAGACATTCATAGCCTCGCCAAAATAGAAAACGCACGCACCCATGAATAGACTAAGCGTGTGTGCAAGTACATCCTTGTCTCCGAAACTGGCCTTCTCGATGATCAACTGCGTGTCATACACCACATAACCGCAGAATACAAAAAGTCCACCGTACTGCCACAGCAAATCAAGTTAGCAAGAAGTCAGCGGTTGTAGTGTTTTCATCGATCATGTGTACCAAGTTCACGTGAAATAGAAACGACGAGTATTTGAAGATTGAAAACAGGTTTGTAAGGAGTAGCACCGACAGTGCTGAGCTCAGGGTTCCGCCTAGGTACAAGTAGGCGCGACGAGTTGCTACAGCAAAAAAGCAAAAAATGTTAATTTCTAATCCAATACCTGATTTTGCATCTTCTCGCACCAAGCAGCGCACTTCCCGTAAAGCACAAAAATACTAGCGTCGTGAGCATACTGCAGGCATAGAGTCAAATATCATTAGCCTCGATCTTTGATAAGTCATTGTTATTTAAAGTCTTACAGGGCCGAGACCAGAATGCTGGGATTCAGTTCAATCGCCACAGCCACGAGAGTGGACACAGTGAGGCCCACAGATGCCGATATTGCGATGAGAATACAGAACCGTTTGTAAAAGTTCTGCTGAGGTTCCACATAGAGCCAGATAGATCCAATGGTTGTCATAATTGACGAGCTCATGAGTGTAATTCGCTCTGGGCCAAACGCCAAAGTAACAGCCGAACTAATCATTGCTGACATTACACAAGCTGCTAGCGTCGCGTACACGCGCATCAAGTGTTGCTGAACGTCTTCAGTGATGCCGCTGGTCTTCATTATCGTCGACATTCTCCACTGCGGCGGCATAGTCACCCCAAACATATTTCTCAGTCTGTGTGTTCGTTTTCGATTATAATAATTTTGTTGAGAAAAACAGTCCATCATGTGAATTTTACAAAATTCGCAGTAATTTGCATTTCAAACAGGAACTTTTCCCAAAGGTCAACTTCAGTAGCACCTGTCAAAGCATTCATCGCCCTAAGCACCAGCAGATAAGCTGCTCTAAAACAGATCGATTTAAGCCAGCTATGTGAGCTCCCGCTAGGTTCAAGAAGCAAGTTTGTCTTTCAGGCCGCACTATTTGTCTAAACTATTGCAAGAATTCAAATTAGAAGACCGTATTGACAATTGGCAGCGGAAAAGCAACTAGTGCAGCTGTAGCGACGCAGCGTGCGAGTAGAAAGTGCGCATGACGCGGTTAGTTTATGGAGCAATGTTTGTATCCATGCTAGTCAATAAGCATTACGCACTCGCCTCATGCAAGTTACGGGTCAATACCTAACGGCTGATTCAGTCGACGCGCAACGTATAGACCCGAAATACAGATGAGGTATCACAGTAATATTTTCCTGAAGCTTTTTGCCACAAGACACGCTTACTACTTTTCGGCCAGAAGCTCTCCGCTTCTTGCTCAATCTTGAACATCGGCTGTTCGCCGCCGATAAGAAACACTTCTATCAAATTACTTAAAAATTGAAAAATAGCTCATTTAGCAGCTTGAAACACTCCTGAGTTGGTCTTGTGCCAGTGTACTACGTAAGCAATTTCAGCCAAATCTCCAGCTCTAACTGCGGTGACGATTGCATACCAACATACGGGAATAGCTGTGCCGTCATCTTTTCGGCTGTAGGCACTTTTTTCTACTATACACCTTGCTCGGCCCAAGCCGGGCGCTATCCACTTTTGTACCGCAGCGATATATCGCGCAGCACACGATCTTGTAGATCTATCGTCTTGCAACGGGATAAGTGTAGCACCGTCACAAAACATGATTTTGACTCGTCGATCAAGCTTAAACGAGCGCAGAGACTAAGCTCGAAAACAGCCCTTGGATTGGAGACCAGGAAACCAAGTACTCGATACTGCGCTGACTTCAGAGCGGCATATCTTGGAGTAAGCATCGCTAACGATCATTAAATTCGAATGTATATTTTCATCATCTATTATTACAGTATGGTTAATACAGTGTGTGAGGATAGCAGCCCATGTGTTCTACAAATTTATCCTATCGGAGCATTATCAACCCAATATCGTTCGTGATACTGGATCACTGAGCTGGTGGACAGCAGAAAACTCACCATCGTACTCGATATACAAGCTCTGCTGTAAGTCCGAAGGACAATCGGTATTATTCTGGTACCCCGACTTTTACTAAAAAATCTTGTGGTGTCAATGTTTTGATGCCACAAACGCGAAAATGCGCTCTAACGCGCAATATCTAAGGCAATGGGACGTTCTCAGTATGATGACATTCATAGGCGACAGATGTCGCGTGTTCGATTTCTGTCAACCTCCGTCAAGGGAGACAAGAATTGGCGAACTAAGTCCACGCACTAAGATTCTTCATTACCGCAACAATTGTCTGATTCTTTCTCAGAGGCAGTAGCAGTTAACATCTTCATGCAAGGTCACCGAACTGTTGCGACACACACCAAAATCATCCGCGTCAGCTCTACTCCTTTTGGGAAGCGATGGCTTAATGCGGCCACATGAAGGCCGAATGAGGGTGATGACAATGGAAGATCTACGAGCGCAATATAGAGAACGGTCATCAGTCATACTAACTTGGAAAAGCGAAATATTTTAGCCGCTGAGCAGTCCCACGGTACTCGCAGATACTTCATCCGTAGTAGTACGAAACTCTACGCCCTGTGTGAGCCTTTGCTATCAGCTGATGGTGGTGCTCCTACGCAAGAGCTGGCGGCACGCCCTCGCAGAGAAACATCAAAGGCCAACTGGTACAGAACATAACTTTTATACCTCATGAAGGTCGTGGGTAATGCATAAAGAAGAAGAGCTCTAAGCGAGGGGAGCTCAATATTCAATTTTTTGGCTTATGGAGTTAACGTCCTGGTCTTGAGAAGTCGTGCACAGTCCTGACAGATTCAGGAGCTTCGCAAAATACGACGCGCGGCTGTCGAAACAGTAGTACGCGGAGAAATTGAAGATGCCAAATGCGGATACGATATTCGTGCATTTATCGCCTCCAGCATCCGGCCGCCAGAATTCGGGTCACATCGTGACCAACGATAGACACAAGGTTGTCGGTCGATTTGTCGGACAAACAGGTATAAAAGCGTTTCATGTTCCATTTGCGCAGAGGATGCAGTCCCTTCATGATTCGGTCGTTGGATTGACTGCAAGTGCTACCAAGTGCAACGGGACTTTGCACATAGAAAGCTTTGACTTTCGATTTTGCGCTTACACACATAAAGAGGTTGAGTTTGCGTGTGCTTTCGGGTCCAAAACTCCAAAACCGAAAGCTTTTCATAGAACCGACACTGTTAAGTTGCTCTACATTGTAAGAGTACATGTGGCCAGAATTAATTTTCTTCAGACCAACACTAAATATATACATTTGGATTCTTGTAATTCGGCCTTTCTTATTTAACATAAACTGGTTAAAGTGTTGAGAGTTATGCTAAACTTTCGAGCGAAGTTTGAGGTGGAGCCTTGCCACATCGGTGGCTTGGTTGGATCGCCACGAGCGACATGGTCGACTAGAAGTCTAAAGTGTTTAGGTGTCAAGCACTTTCTCAGGTGGGGCTTTGGTGAGTCATGATCTTACATCTGCCAGTAAGCAGAAATGCTTTTGGCGCAGGCACAAGGCTGTGATAGCCCTTGTGCAGGACATGAAATTGCCCAAGATTGATAACGATCATATTGTTTAGTTCTCCAAGCGAAGCTGGGAAGGCAGAAGCGGTAGTAAGATGCTGTCTTGATATAAGACCAAAAGTAATGGATTGTAAAACGCAGTTTTAAAGTGTATATCGGTTGATGGACGATAGGGTATGTGTATGTCGTTATCTACGAAGTGTATCGAAGATCAGTTCCTGGCTGTTGTCATCTGTGCCAAGGCAGGTGCAGAGTAGGAACGACGGGATAGCACAACTATCGTGCCAGCGCCAAAAAAATTAAAGAACGACTGTAAGTCGCGAGTATGATGGTCATGCCCCGAAGATGGTGACGATGGATCATCCTCGTCGCAATGTGACGGGACAGCTGAAGCAGTGATATCTTGCGATAAAAACACCGAGCAGAGCACAGGTAAGTAGTGAGAAAAACTATTCACTCGTGATTGTAGTGCCTAGAGTCTCTGAGGAAGTGTAATCCTCCCTTCATTACCTTTGGCAGAAGCCTTAATAGCGATGGACGGACATCGATCAAATAAGTGCGAGGCTTTCCAAGAGGGTGATGTCTCCAAAATGATACGATCGACACCGGAGACGGAGCTAATCTCCTCAACCAGCAAGTATATAAATATGTCCATGAGAATTTTAGCATCATATCGCGTGCGAGAAATCCGAACGCTATCCTCAAAGATCGTAAACCCTTTTCATCATTCACTAAACGAATTACCTCAACTTGCTGACAAGCGACCCACCACGCGTACCACCCTCACATAGAGAATTGAGCATAATAATGACTCGCTTCCCCGACCAATGTATTATGTCACACGGCAGTCGTCGTATGAAAAGATCTATGTGACAGCATTGATTTCGTCTTCCGCGCAAAGCATCGAGCAGGTTTGGTGAGAGATAGTTCTGTGTCAAGTGACCGGCTTCTGTAAACTTTATCGGTAACGGTGGCATATTGACTCTCTCCAAGAGTCTTGATGTGCATCCGGAGCTCAGATAAGCCAGTTCTCGAGTTCAATGAGCCTCACTATTGTACTTTCTAACTCTAGCAGTACCGAACCGCGTTGCTGCCTTAGAAAAGGGAAGCTTAGCTACAGGAGATAGTAGAGACGTTGCTTCATCTGACGTAGAGCTCTTCATATCCGACTGGTTCGTAAAAGTGGAATCGTGTAATGGAATCAAAACGCTCACAGAGAACACTGTGTGCGCTCTTATATTACTGCGAATACTCTGATTATAACTCAATCCATTCTCCGCTACGTCCTTGAACGGTCTGATGCAGAACGGTCACAATTATTGCATGTGTAGATATGTAGATTGCATTTGACAAGTCCTATTCTCACAAGATATTCATTTTTTTGCTTGCCTCTGGCATTGGCATGCTGCTCTTGTATCTCCTGGTTCGCGGTCAAAGCGACGCGAACCCTGCTTTTTAAGCTCAATCTCATCGAGATAAAATCACTGCTTATGCTACAAACTGTAGCCGGGCTGAAGTTTTAAACTGACTTTGATCGACAGCCCCTCCCAACTAAAATAGATTTTCTTGCCAGCTATGTTAAAGACATCCAACGTTTCAAATAACATTTATGAAAAATGGATTGAAGCCTGTAAGGGAATTTACTGTGTTGTTTATCGCAAGTCCAATGAGTGGGGGCGACTCGCTCCAGCGCCGCGGTCTCTCCGCCCAAGTGCTTGAAAGGATCCTCTTCACAGCGCGATTCACGCAATCTGTATAACCATATATCTGAGAAAGGTCAGCGGTAAAATAATTTAGTCTAGTGCCGAGCATCTTGAATATTGTTTACCTAAATTGCGCTTTTAAACATTGATCTTTATCCGATACCGTGGCTACCGATAAGCCATCCTTGAGAACCGCTTTGTAGGAACAGATTGTAATCTCACTGAACACATTATCGGTGGCAGCAAGGAGATGATCTGCATTTTCGGTGACAGCAGGGAGATGATGTGTAGACAGTCTAAAAACCTACAAACTGGTAATACAGCGCCTGTCCTTTGAAAGAACGAAATGAAAGTTCATACGAATGGACTGCAAGCATTCTTCCGGGCCTTTCAGCTGGACATGAAGGCCGCCACATGAGGCAAGCTCTTGAGATGCTGATACGTATGACATGTGCGCAC